CACAAATAGTCGACGGAACGAATCGCATCAACAATTCGAAAAAGTAAACATATTTTTCTTTTATTTTGTGATTTGTTTTGTTGCTGTTGTTGTTGTTATTGTTGTGTGCAAAGAGGTAGCTAAGGGGGAAGTAAGTTTGTATTATTCATATACATATTTATTTATGCTCGCCCGAGCTCAATTCGCCTGGCAACATCATAACAAGGGCTCCCACTCGCGGCACTGAATGACGCAGTTGACATTTACAAGCGGTTGAACGCAGAGCTCAAGAGTTCAGCTGAAACTCGCTGTCCACATTTCCACAAGTCGCGTGCGTTGGCCCAAGTCAAAGTCAAAGACTTCCACAACATCTGTATGCATACATATGTATATCGCATTCTAGATGCTCTGAATTGAAGGCAACTCTAATCTGAAGCCGGACTTGTTTGCCTATCAGTGGCTGACGAAGCCGCGGGTTATCATCGAACTTGACCAATATTTGGTTTGGTTTTATTGTTTTGTTGCTGTTGTTGTACGTTTGGCGTGAATCAATTGAAATTAGTACACACACACACAAATACTCACACAAAAAAAAACAAACAAACAAACACTCGCACACATTCATAAATATACTTAGTTATCGACATAATCGCATTTAATTTACAGTTTCCATTTCGACGCGACGAAAGTTTCATTGGCATCGACAGTCGTCTTTTGTGCCTCGCAGCGATCACAGCACTAGAAATTGTTAATATATATTATATTATACTTCACATATATATATTTATATACATATATAGAAAAAATGTTATTAAGGCCGCTGCTACTATTTGCCGTGTGCCTGTGTCTGGCACCTACGGAGACCCAAGCGGATTTATCATTCATCTTTGGAAATATTTCGCTATTTAATTTGAACTTCAAGACACCAAAACTGCTGGGACGCTCCATAACTGTAAACAGTAATGTGAAAATTGATAGCGATGTGGATCCCAACATACAGGAAGATTCGCATTTGAGTACGGTAAGTGGAAATCACAACAAAATAAAAAAAATAAAAAAAAATAAATAAATAAAGGAAATAATAATATTGTTAAAAAAAACCGAAAATAGCAAAGGGTATAAAAATGCCTAAAAAAAAATAAATAAATAAATAAATAAATAAAAATTTATTGTGATATAATTATAAAAATTAAAATGCTTTCAATTTTAATTATTTTGTGCAGACATATAATTAAATACAGTTATTAAATAACATATTGCAAAGAAAAGCCAACCACAATGTTTACAAAAAATTAAATAAACCCGTTTAGTAGATTTACTTTTTTGTATGTTTTTACTCAGCTTACAGTTAATGGATTAAAGCTGATTGTCGGGTTATTTAATTATCATTAATTAGTCAGAGTAATGTAGATAATAAACCGTGCATAACTGATGATGTTCACGCTTAACAGCAACTTTAATTCATCAATTTTTTTGCACACTGGTATGCTCAACTCATTTGAAATTTTTTTAATATATATATATATTTTTTTTAATTCATACAAAATAAATGTAATTAAAAAATATAATAATTTTTATCTTAAAAGTTGAAAATAAAACTAAATTATTATTAATAATTTATTTGTTTTTAAATTATTATTATTAATTAATTTAATTTTAAATTAGTAATAATAATTAATTTATTATTAATTTATCAATTATTAAAAAATTACAATTTTTATTTTATCTTATCTCTAATATTCTGCGGTTTGCTGCAATTAACTAATGTTACATTAAAGCCAAACTAAGGACTTATATAAATTCGATTATAATATAAAACGGATTTTATTCTTAAATTTTATAAATTATTATTTGGGTGAACAAAATTTAATACATTATAATCATCATTCATCATAATTATCCTTATATATATATATCTTAAATTCAAGTCTTAAAATTAATTTATCTACTACATTTTTCTCTTCTTACAGTATAATCTTATTAAGAAATATGGTTACCCGGCTGAGAATCACAGTGTGACAACTGATGATGGTTATATTTTAACACTGCATCGTATTGCCCGACATGGAGCAACGCCAGTTCTGCTAGTTCATGGACTTTTGGATAGCTCAGCCACCTGGGTGATGATGGGCCCCAACAAGGGTCTAGGTATATATTATGCTGTACGATGCTGAAAACCTAGTTCTATCTAATCTATCGCATTCTTCAGGCTATTTGCTCTATGAGCAGGGCTACGATGTCTGGATGGCCAATGTGCGCGGCAATACGTACTCCAGGAAGCATGTGAAGTACACTCATTCGCAAGCCAAGTACTGGGACTTTACGTTCCACGAAATGGGCGTGTACGATATACCCAAGACAATCGACTATATACTGGATACGACGAGCTTCAAGCAATTGCATTACATCGGCCACTCGCAGGGCACCGTTGTCTTCTGGATCATGGGCAGCGAGAGACCCGAGTATATGGACAAGATTCTCTTTATGCAGGCTCTGGCGCCAGTCGCGTACCTGAAGCACTGCAAGAGTCCGGTCGTCAATTTCCTGGCCGAGTTTCATACGTCGGTGAGCGTAAGTTGTTCTCTGCGATTCTCATTGCGGTTGCTTATAGCGAATTTTTCGCATTCGTTACAGTTTGTGCTCCGGCTGATTGGTGTTCATGAGTTTTTGCCCAAAAACGAGTTCATTGTGATGTTCAATCAACTGATCTGCGATGAGACAACCATAACCAAAGAGATCTGCTCCAATGTGATCTTCCTGACCACCGGCTTCGACAAGCTGCAGCTGAACGAGACAATGTTGCCCGTTGTGGTCGGCCATGCTCCGGCTGGCGCGTCCACCAAACAGATGCAACACTTTGGCCAGGTGCGCAGATCCGGTGAATTCCGGCAGTTCGACTACGGCTGGCTGAGGAATCATTGGCGCTACAACAACATCACCCCACCCGCATACAAGCTGGAGAATGTCAAGGCCAAGGTAGCGCTGTACTACAGCCAGAACGATTGGCTGGCCCAGCCAGCGGATGTGCAGTCGCTGCGCCGCCGGCTGCCCAATGTCGTCCATCACTATCTGGTGGACTATCCCGAGTTCAATCATCTCGACTTCATCTGGGGCGTCGATGCCCGTGAACTGCTCTGGGACTCTATGCTGAAGCAAATGCGCGCTCATGAAATAGATAATAATATAGATACGACAAATTGATTAGTATAAGAACTAAAAGTAATATCGATTTAGTACAAGTCCTATATATACTTACAGTATGAGCCCATTAGGATTGCTGTTGGCCATTATTTGTTGTACATATATTAAATATTTATTAATCGATTAAAGCTTAGTGTAAACAGTAGTAATTACATGTTGTATAGCTGTAGAGCGGACAAGTTTCTAATGTAAATCGACCTACATGTTATACAAATAAGCTTTTACTATTATTAGAATAACTGGGAAGTAGTTTAGTTTATCAAGTTTTGTACACTCATAATAAATAGTAAATAATTGTGTTGTGTAAATACTCATTTGATGTTGGTTTTATAAATGTTGGGTAAATAACAAAATGTACATATATACATATATGTAAGTAACTATGTGTATACAGTAGTGCTTAGAAAAATAGGAAAAGCGTAGAGTTAGTGTCAAACAATATTTAAGCTCATCATTTATCTGATCTATTCATAAATATTTTGAGCATTATATTTGAAGGCTAACCTGTTAGCTCTAGGCAGCTGCCAGAAAAATGAATATATAAAATATTTTAAATATACTTTGGCTAATATATTTAGTTCCAGTAACGTTTGAAACGATCAGTTAGCGCGTTGCCACTTGGTTGTCAACCTTTAAGCTGACGATCTAGAAATATAGCATAATTTAGGGCTTCTTTAAACAATCATATATATTTGAAAATTTAATGCCTTTTGCTTCAGAATCATTTAATTTATAAATAAAAGCTATAAATGAGTATAATAAATTTGTTGTGAGCTTTTATATATTTACTTTAAGTATTATGTATAATATATAATTTTATATAACATTTTGATTTTATTTATCGATATATTTTATAATAATAATAATAATAAATTTAATAATATTTGGAAAAGTAATTCACTCTACTTAGTTTGTTGTACCTTAAAAATAAGTAACTGCATCAAAACCTTAAACACATGCAAGAATATATCTTGATCTAGTTAAAAATTATGTGAAAAAAAGAATAATAAATATTTATGTGAAATACATTTTCATTTAGTTTTTCATAATATTTGTTTTACTTTTGCTATATTATTCATTTATAATTTCTTATTTACCGAAATGTAGTTACTCACTTGGGACCAAGTTTAAAGTTCAAATTGACGTTGAAAACTAGGTGCCCTGTCTTATATAGTACGACTCTAGAGGCAGCTCAAAATTTAATTCACAGATAATATTTTCGTAGAGTATTAAAATGATTTTATGATCGTATGAATATGGAGAAATTCAAATTTTGAATAGTAAAAATGTACTATTTTTAAGTGCATCGAATCGGGCTATTGCGGTTGCTATATAAGGGCTTGATTTTCACAAATTTGGCTCAGTGCAATACAAAATTTTGGAGTGTTCCTCAGCTGCAGTGATAAAGGTAAAACGCTTGGATACCAGTGCAAAAAGTGGAATATACTTCAGATACCTTAAGGATATAGCCAAGGATTATTTATTGTATGAGAGTGATATTTTCTCAATACCTATCATGGAATAAACTTGGATAACTCGTACTACTGGAGCAGCCGTGTCTGAAATGTAACCAGCCTATTTTAAGTAGAAGCAAAATAGAGAGAGAGATAGAAAAAGAAAAAGAGAGACCGAGAATCCTGATGATGTTCAAAAAAATATATACCCTAAGTCTTCTTCAATCTCCTAAAAAGATATATGTAGCTATAATATTCATAACCCTAAAAAGCATTAACCCCAAACGCCCGTAAAATATATATAAATTTGTGCTAAAAATAAAAAAATATTTAAATTATATATATATTATTGTATATTTTAGACAAAATAGCTTTCACAAAATGACTCAATGGACTGTAACACTTATATTGCTCTGCTTGGGTGCTACTTTCGCAGTTTCTCAATCTGTTGAAGATGATGCTAATCTGTCCACGGTAATATTATGGATTCACTGACATTTCTCTAAGGCTTAACCTGCTGTCTTATGCAAATCTAATAATTCCCACAGATTGGTCTGCTTCAAAAGTATGGCTACCCGGCGGAAAAACATATCGTTAACACTGATGATGGTTATATACTCGAGCTGCATAGGATACCAAGGCCCGGAGGCATACCTGTATTCCTCATGCATGGCCTATTGTGTAGCTCAGCAGCTTTTATATTGATGGGCCCCAAAAATGGATTGGGTAATGAAACTAAGGATCGCTTTCTCTCTCTCTCTCACTCTCACTCTCACTCTCACTCTCTTCCTCTATCTCTATGTAGGCTATTTACTTTATGAGCAGGGCTACGATGTCTGGATGGGTAATGCGCGTGGCAATACGTATTCCAGGAACCATGTCAAATACAATGAAGACCAGTCGCAATTTTGGGATTTCTCATTCCATGAATTGGCCATCTTTGATCTACCAGCCAGCATTGATTATGTGCTGCATGAGACCAACCATCCGAGTCTGCACTACATTGGCCATTCTCAGGGCACAACTTCGTTCTTCATTTTGGGCAGCGAACGACCCGAGTATATGGAGAAGATCTTTCTCATGCAGGCCCTGGCGCCCATTGCCTTCTTCAAGAATTGCAAGAGTCCGCCCGTGGTGTTCCTAGGCGCAACTGAATTGACCGGACATGTGAGTCTTTTTACTGTATTCACGTATTTCTGGCAAGTTGATCTCAATCGAATTTTTCTTCAGTTCCTGCGAATGTTGGGTCCAGATGAGTTCTTGCCGTCCGACGACTTTCTGACAATGTTTTCACGAGCATTATGTGATGCTAATCGAATCGGCCTGAAGCTCTGCAAGAATACGCTCTTTCAGTTTGCGGGCTACAGCCCGACACAAACGAATGAGACAATGATGCCAGTCGTACTTGGCCATACTCCAGCCGGCGCTTCTAGCCGCCAAATATTGCACTATATTCAGTTCAGATCATCGAATGAGTTTCAACAGTTTGACTTTGGCCTTTTGCAGAATAGAGTACGTTATTCGAGCCTGAAACCGCCGAAATACAATTTGAGCGGTGTCACGGCCAAGGTTATGTTATATTATAGCCAAAATGATTTGTTGGGCCAACCCGAAGATGTGACCAGACTCTATTTCGCTTTGCCCAATGTGGTTGAGAGATATCTGGTGGACTATCCGAGTTTCAATCATTTGGACTTTTTGTGGGGCATAGACGCACCCGAGCTGCTCTTTGAGCGAATGTTTAAGAATATGCGATATGTTGAAGAGGGGGCGGATAAATTTAAGCTGAATGGGTATAGGGGTAAATGAAACTTAATGGAGTAGAACGATAAATATAGATAAAATAAAGGTGATATGAGATCAATATCTAAGATTTTGATTTAAGATAACAATGAAACATCCCTATATTTTATTTCTCTATTATTATTTTTTCCTTCTACCTAATATAGATATATTTTAATAACATTTTCAATGCGCTGAAGCTATACAAAAA